CCCTGTGCCTTTGGGGCACCGCACTGCTGAATTCCCCATCCCCGGGGCCCCACTCCCCGTGTCCTGCCTTGGGCCCTGCAAACCCCTTGGCTGGGCCTGAGATCCAGCCCTCAAGCTTCCCCCCGGAGCAGGAAGCCAGCTAGTGCTCCAATCTCACACGGGGCCCCCATAGGACTGGAGCACCAGTGAGGGGGAGTAGCCCAGAGCCCATGGCTCACCTGCAAGCTGGTCTCAGACCACACTGAGCCCCACTGCGTAACAGCAAGGCTAGGGCCTGTTTCTGTGGCCACATTATAAAGCGTTTGCATGGCTGTAATTTAGAGGGAATGTGAGGATGTGACTTTCCGCCCCCTAGGCTCATAGCTGCTGCTCCCAATACAGCTGCACACAATGTAGGATCAGGCTGTTAATGGGACCCTGTTGTAACAACACCCACCATCACTGGCTAAGATCTGTTCCTTTAAGATGTTTTTAAAAGTTTGCTAGCGTTCTGCCTGTCCAGAAACCAAACCACTTAGCCCTTGTGGTCATTAACTCATTTTGTTATCGTCAGGCCTTCATGGGCCCCACTTCTCCACCACTTGTCTGGAGGGGTCTCTGTCTGGGTCAGCAAGGGGCAACCATGAGCGGGCCTCCAGCTGAGTGGGGTGCAAGAGTGTCATCACCAAGCCGGGCTCCCGGGATAGGGGAGTTTTGCTAACTGCGCTTGCGCACCTAAGATGTGCCGACTGAAGAACTTTGCTTGGCTGCAGGGGGAGCGTATGGTTCTCTCTGTCCCTGTTGTGGGTAATCCACACCTCTCACAGCATGTGCCCTGCTTTACACGGGTGAGACTTTCGTAACAGTGGCAGGAAAAAAAATCTACGCTGCTGAAAACCAGCAGAATTTGGCAACCCAGTGCATGGGCGACAGTCAATGAACGGTCACGGGGGCCAGACTTAGGACGTGGTTCTTTGATTATTTCTTCCTGTTCCACAGTTCAGTTCGCTACGTTTAAATCAACTCAAGGTGGTGGGGGAGGGACTGGCTAAAGAATTGTTACAATCTGTAAGGATTGATTGGTAACATGTAGAAAAAGGATTGGTTCCGATTTCGCTAAGTGGGACTCGAGTGTTACTGTATGAACTGGTGTGATGTAGTGTGGGTACCTTGCTGGTTGCTAGGCTTGGGTTGTGAGTGACCTCCACTGGCTGCTGTTTGTACCACTGCCCAGCCGAGTAGCTGATGGGAAAGGAAGGTCACCTGTTCGACCAGTTACCTTCCTTTGTTCCTCTCCCTGGGGGGTGGAATGCCAGCCCTGGCTGGGAGGCAGGGCTGGAAGAGAGTTAGTTTCTGTCCGGGAAGCAGGGGAGAAAGAGCTAGGGAGGGGGCTGGGATTGTAGGGCCCAGCCAGCCCCCATCTCAAGGGGGGGGGCACGGAGGCCTCCTAGTCCCAGTCCCTGTAACCAGATTACATCTGTGCTGTATCCTGGAGGAGCAATAAACTCCCTCTATTCTACTGGCTGGTGGAGTCTGTTCATGCCATTACAGGGGTGCAGGAGACGGGAAAACCCTAACGCGCCGTCACAACTGGGGTCCAAAAGGATGCTCTTGGAAACTAACTCTAGGAGACAGCCCAAGATCAGAGCTTCTGCCTGTCACCACCATGAAAAGACTGGAGTCCCCCAGATGACCTGACCCCAACTGGCCAGCAGGAAATGTTGGTTACTCATCTTGGGAGTGGCGAGATGGTCTGCTTCAGACTGTCCTGGTAACCGTTAATGGACTGAGGATAAGGATATTAGTGAGTAAGGCTCTTTCCCCGGTAGAAGACCCCACTCATTCTGTGCAAGTTTACCCCAGAGCCCTAAAGGCGGGTGCACCCAGAGTATGCGCCAGTAAGAGAAATGTGTGTGGGCAACATTGCAAGTCCACGTGTATCCAGGAACCTCCTCCCTCAGCTGTTTGATGCGGTGCCAGCTCCAACAAAATTCAGGACCTGATTGGACCTAGTCTGAACAACCCTCAGGTCCTCAGAGGTAGAGGGGCAAGCCCCCACCAAAGCAGGCAACGAGAAAAGCGTTTAAAGGTTTGGAAAATTTTATTCTTTACTGAAGTTTCATTTTTTAAATCTCGGTTTACAATAAATATTTACCAGCAATAACCTCAAACTGATTAGTAATAGAGATGCAGCCGTGTGAGTCTGGCCTTGCTGAAACAAGAGACAGGACTTTGCAGCACTTTACAGACTAACAAGATGGTTTATTAGGTGATGAGCTTTCGTGGGCCAGACCCACTTCGGAATTCAAATCCACGGCAGCAGTCTGGACTCCCAACAAGAGAGAGCCAGGGCCCGCAATAAGACAAGCCGGTTTGGCAGCACTCTGCCCTGACGAGACAGATTTATACGGGATTTCTTTTGAAATAAAGCTCTGTACAAGCACTTGCTTAGCTGCGGCTGGCCCTGGCCAGGTGACAGGCTCACTGGGGTGGGATTCAGCCCCCATCACTGATAAGCAGTGTCTCAGAGCCAAGCTACCAGCTCCCATTCACACAGGGCCAGGCTCAGGAAAGGTGAGGGGTCCACGTGGCCACAGAAGCTTTTGTTTGTGTTGGCAGGAAGTCCCTCCCCCGGCCCTCCGACCAAAGAACAAAGGGAGCAGAAGCAGGCAGGTGTATGCTAAGAGTCAATTCCCACGCCCCCTTCTTACTCAATAGACCTGCGCCCAAGTGACGAGTCCCAACCCAAGTCACTTAGGCTATGTCTGGACTGCAGCACTTTGCCAGGATACCGGAAGTATCCCGGAAAAGCAATGCCAGGTTCAAGGAACGTGTCCGCTTTTCCAAGGTTTTTTTCAGAAAAGTGAACACTTTCACCATCCCTGTAAACCTTGTTTCACGAGAAAGAGGCGACATCGAAAGAGGACTTTTTTCCGAAATTTGGTGCCGTGCAGACATGCCACATTTCGGAAACGCCTCTTTCGAAAACATCCGGAAAAAGGTACCCGCACGTTGCGTATCTTTTTCCCATTTAGTCTAGATGTAGCCGTACTAAAATCCCACGCACAGCTGCTAGCATGAGCCTTTTCTGCTGTTTCATGCCCTGCGCCCGGCAGAGCCCACGCAGCTGGAGTTGGAGTCTGCTCTGCTTTGCCTGTTAGACAGGCGCAACGGGGAGCAGGCTGTGGGATGACACGCGCCACGAAGAGCCCAGCTCAGAGTGCAGGTTGGATGAGCCGGGCTGACCTAGAAAAAGCCCCTTTTTCCTCGTAAAAAGAGCAGATTTGGTCTGGAAAACCTGACACAAACACGGAGCCCACAACAGCATCGTGGCAAAGCTTGGCCCTCCCGCTCCCCTAAGCACACCACTCAGTTCAGCTGACTCTGTGCTCTGCTAAAGCCTCCCCCTTGCTGCCCAAAAAGCACAGCAGGTTGGACCGGTCTGACCAGCTGTTAAGCAACAACAAATGGGTCCTGGTAGGGTGGAGTGACTGAGGCAGATTGAGATCCTGAAATGAGACCATCACTCCACCCACATGCCCCTGGTTAGTCCCCACAAGCTCTGCCTAGTAACAGGCCGTTATTCCGGGAACTTTGAGAGACACTGTGATTACGGCAAACCGAGGGTCAGGTAGCAAAACAGCGTTCTTCTGGGGTGCAGTACTGCGTTCCTAGCAGACCCAAGCGATAGCTCCCCGTTCCATTAGTCTGTGTGTGGCGGCTGTCAGGAACAGGTGGCCTGGGAAGTCCAGCTGCATCAGAGGAACTGTCCGACAATCAAAACCTTGTTTGGCAGGAAAGATTCAACCAGCTTCTGTGGCAACACGTTCCAAGCCAGGCTTACACAAACCTGTCTCCGCAGCTCTTGCTGCTGCTGCCTCCCACACAATGCTGTGGGGGAGACTGGGTCCACGAGGCAAGCCAGGTACCAGCAGAGGCTACAACCCTTACCCGGCTCGCTGTCGATCTGCATTTCAGCAAAGTGCAAACAAGCTCTAAGGCAGCCCAGCTGCCCCAGCACATCCCCGACACCCAGCAAGGGGCACAGCCCCGAAAACTAACGCCCCACGTGGCGGAGAAAGATTCTCCAGAGACTTTCAGCAGGCACATGACTTACCCTCATCCCACTGCTGGGAGGAGGTGTCCTTTACAAGCCAGCCAACCCCAGCTGGATCTCTCTCGTGCTAGGGTTACATGCACCATTCGCTAGAACCACGGTTGTTCACGTTCCTTGCAAAGCAGACGGCAGCACAGAGCGTCTTAAGGGCTTGTTTACACCAGACGCGACCTCGGCCCAGCAGCGCTGCTGTGGGGCATCTGGTGAGGATGCTTCCATGCCGGCAGGAGAGCACTCTCCTGCCAGCATAATTAAGCCTCCTCCGTGGGAGGCAGAAGCTATGCCAATGGCAGAGTGTCCCTGCCAACAGTGCATCGGTGTGGACTGCACAGAAGACAATGCAACATACATTGGTTGGGGGTGTCTTTCACTCCACTGAGCAACCCAGCTTACATCAGCTCAAGCCATGGTGTAGACCAGGGCTACTCAACATGTGGCCCGTTTGTCTGCGGCCCGCAGTGCGGTTTGGGTTTACGTGGGGCTTAACACGTGGCCCACGGGTGGGATCCTTTGAACGTGGCCTCCACTGGGAAATGCCACGCACAGCTGCTAGCATGAGCCTTTTCTGCTACTTCATGCCCTGCGCCCGGCAGAGCCCACGCAGCTGGAGTTGGATTCTGCTCTGCTTTGCCTGTTAGGCGCAACGGTGAGCAGGCTGTGGCTTGCCCAGTCTCCATAGCCGGGGATGACACGCGCCACGAAGAGCCCAGCGCAGAGTGCAGGTTGGAGGAGCTGGGCTGACCCAGAAAAAGCCCCTTTTTCCTTTTCCTTGCTCCACAACAGCGAGGCCTCTCCCAGGCGGGGTGAGCATTGAAAGACGCAAGCGGACGGGCAGGTGGAACAGATGGGTACAGGGTGTCGGCATTTCTAGCCCCCCGGGAGGAGGTGCCAGGAGCGCCGGGGCATTGTGGGAAGTGCTTTGTATTCATGCCCGTCAGTGTGAAAGAAGCTATTTGCATGTACATGCAACCACACTTCAGTTGCAGCCCTCAGCGTGTGCTGAGTATCACTGTGGCCCTCGGGGCTTCCAAAGTTGAGTAGTCCTAGTCCAGACCAACCCTCAGCGTGCAGGAAAACTCAGCTGGGCCTAGAGCCATTAAAACATTAACCAGTTAACTGCTAATGCCTAATCAGTGAACTGTAACATTGCCACCCAGCCCTCTGTAGCCATGGGGTGCAGCCCTGCCTGTGATGTCCCACCGCAGGTCCTTTAGTGGCCATGAGGTCCTGCAGCAGCTGTGGGGTCCTGCTGCCCGGCCCACTGACCTGTCCAGGGCCAGGACTGTTCTGGGCCGGTGTGGCTGGCCACCACTGCTTCACCCGCAAGGGCCTTTTAACTGACAGACTGGTAAGCCTCCTGCTGAGTGGCACACGGACTGGTTCATTTTACATCCCTAGTGTGAGGCCCCGGGGAGTTTTGGGGGCTGCATGCAGAGGGGGCACTCAGTGCCCCGGGATGTTACTGGTTCATGTGACAAGGGGGAGACAGGTTGTTTCAGAGACCAGCCCAGAACTGGAGCCCCAGTGACCGATGCCCCCAGCCCTGCTCAGAGGACACGGCCGCTTCCAGCCAGACAACAGACAAGGGGCTGCAGAGGGGAGACCCCTGCGACCCGCCCAGCTGGTCCCAGCAAGGGGAGAACATTGGCTGGAGGAGAGGAGGTGGAGAAGAGGGGCCCAGAGGCCCGATTACCTGAGACACTGGCTGGGGAGGGGCTGTTGCTGAGGCTGTTGGAGGCTCTGCTGGGAGACGGGGGGCTGTTTGGGATGGGGAGCAGAGCAGGCAGGACTTTGCTAGCTGCAGGGGAGACTCAAACATGTGGGGCTGAGGGCCCAGGCCCGAGAGAGCCTTTGCAGTGTTCAAAGCTCAATAAACCCTCCTGTTTTGTGCTGAGTGTCGCTCTGGTCTAGAGAACAGGGGGGCGCTAATCCCTCTGGGAGTGGAGGCTCCAGGGGTCCAGAGGGAGGGGACTCCCCCCAGGTGAGAGTGGGCCCCCCAAGAGAGGGTCGCTACACTGGAATGGGCGCCCTGAGAAAGGGCTGTGCCTCAGGCACTGGAGTGGAGGGGGCCCCGAGAAGGGCTGCCGTGCTAGAGGGGGGGTCCTGCCCGGGGACGGACGGGCTGAGCGTGAGCACGACCTGTGAGCTTGACACCGGTGAGGGGCACAGCTTCCAACAAAGCAACAGTCGGAACTTTGGAAAGAAACAACTGGCCCAAACTTTCTCATCGGGTTCAGGGGCCCCAAGGGAAGGCATCTCGTCTTTCGAGGCCAGTTCGACTTTGGAGCCTTCGTACAAACGAGGGATGTGAAGTCTCGGTTCGTTGAATAGTCGAGTAACCTCAGGAATTCTTAGCAGTTACCCCGCTATGCTATAAGTCCCAGGGGCAGGGCCGGTAGTCAGTGCGCGTCAGCCCCACTCCCGAGGAGCGCTCTGCCGTTCTGCGCTGCTGTGTCTGTATCAGAGGCAGCAACGCAGGGTGCCAAGCGGGAGCTGATCTGCAAGGGGAGCCCGTTTAAAAACCAGCTCCCCTCTCAGACTGGCTGCCTGTCGCCCTGCAGCAGCAGCGGGGGTGGCAGCAGCCCCTGTCCAGGAGGTGGTGTGGGGGGTGTTTGAGCTCTTAGACCCAGCACGAGCCAGAACTGAGCCGGGCTGCCTGGCTCCTAATACACTTGAAATGCAGAGCCACAGCGGGGGTAGGTCCTGGACCTGGCGCAAGCCAGAATTGAGCCGGGCTGCTGGCCAGCCTGCTAGAAAATTTACTGGTAGGGATGGGGAGTGGATGCAATATGCAATCTATGGCAGTAAGCGATAAGCTTTTGCTTATTGATTAATCGACTACGCTATTACATCCAGGAGTCTAACTGAAGAAACCAAAGATAAACAATTTTGTTGTCGTGATCAAGAAAAAACAAAGCTACTTGAAAATGTCAGTCATCCAGTTGAAAAAAAAACCATGCGATTCGGTACTGGCCGAGTCCCCATCGATACCCCAGGTCTTGCAGTGAGCATGAAGAAATCACGAATCAACCACCAACCACAGTCCAGCGGGTATGGAGAGGACAGGTGCATTCGGCAGGGCTTGTCTTTCCCAAGCTTGGGATCCGGTGGAGCAATCGCAATGGCCATGCTTGCGAGGGACAGTAAGTTGGACTGTAGCGAACAGTAACATCCCAGTGGCTTTGGAGCTGCTAAACCCGAGGGCACGTGCCCAAGCTAAAACACACGTCTCCAGAGCCTGAGGTCACAGTTACAAGACTGCAGCCTGGGAGCTGGCAGGAGACACCGTGGGGTGGAGAGGGGAGGGGAAGACATGCCAGCAGGCCCAGGAACGAAGTGCAAGTTTGCATTCCACACGCTGGGGGAGGCTCCCCGTAGACACGAAGCCATGTGCCGAACGGACCGCTGCTCTGAAGCGAAGGCGCCACACGCCGTCACGTCTCAGCTCCCACCCCCTAACGACAGGAACACAAGGACACCAAGTGTCTTCAGCAAGCCCCTGGCTTATCTGCACGGTGCTACGGCTGGTCTCCAGCGCTGGCAGCCAGATCGAACAACAAGCCAAGGGAAGACGCGGAACGTTGTTTGGAGTACACCGACGCAGGCACGTGGCCAGGTGCGGGTGTTATTCACCAATGCGGGTCTCTTCCTGCCAACGCTCCAGACTGAGGGACAATTCACAGCACCGAGCCATCGTTTTGGGAGCATTTTTAAGGATCGTAAAAGCAGCCGCTCACTCAGGGCAAACCAGGAGACTTAATAAGTAAGGCCACAAAACAAGCAGCCTTCACATGGGCAGAAAAACGCAAGGGAACAGAGCATCTCTAATATAGACAGAAGGGGAATTCTCAGCATGGGCAAATATATTCACAAGTCAGATTATTGTTCCTTCCTGATAGCATAGGCCCTGGAAAGAAACGCACCCCTCTGTGACGGAGAAGGCCGGGCGAAGAAACCATTTCCTTCCTTCACGTCTCCTTCCCCAGCATTTCAGAGGCAGGCACAACAAATAATCCAACCCCTCACAAGAGAACAAGTTTATTTTAAGGACCAAATTAAGAGAAAACACACACCAGGTTTAGAAATAAACAAACCAACCCAAGAGATTTGCTCCCCCACACCCACACTCTCAGCGGCGTGGCTGTGATTCGGTTTTTCTGAGCCAACATTTCATTCCCCAGAATCCAGGACAGTCACTAAATACAGACAAAAAGAGCGCAACTGAAAAGGGTTTATTGTGTGAGGCGGCAGACCGGGCCAGGGAGCAGAATCTGACAGGCCCGAACTCAGGCAACGCTCACACTGGTTTCTAGCACCATGTGACGGTGGACGTTTTGCCAGCTCCAACGTGCAGTAAGTGAAGGCACCAAGTTCCACGACTCCCCAAAGATGTGTCAAAGGTAGCTCTGGGGGTTGAGACATTCTGCCTTAAGGACGAGTCAGTAAAATGCATGAAGATGTTTAAATGGCAAGTCCAAGTCTAGCTACCAGCCTCCACCCAATGGAGAGCGTGGGTTCCCCCCCTCAGGGCATGTTTCCACACACTGCAAAAAGTAATAGATCAAAGTATTGCACAGCCAGAGGGAAAGCGCGCTAGGAAAGCCAAATCATCGCTGGCGATTAGCGTCTCATGGTGTTACCACCAACCCAGTCTGAACACAGCAGTGCTGTAGAGGCGGGATGGGGCAGAGGAAAATGGAACACGCCATAAGCGAAAAATGAATAGGCCATTCTGCTTCGTGCTCGAGACCCTGACATTCCTTAACGTCACTAGTCAAGGGCAACCGGCCCGAGTTCTCCGTGAGCTCTCAGCATGCAAATGGAACAACACCCACCTCAGCAACGTGCCGCTGCCCCAAAGGCAGATTCTGCAACAGGAAAACGTTCCACAAATAAACGGTCCCATTTTCAACATCAAAATCCTAAGGTTTCTTGTGTGATACATTTCAAGTTAATTGGCCCATAATTATACATTTAATTCAACAGGTACAAGAGTCAAAAATTCAAGCACAGTCCAATTCCTCTGTACACTTACGGTTTTTCTGTACAATGTCAGTAATATATATAGTCAAGAGTAAGCTACTTATTGAATAAATTCCGAGGGAAGCAAAAGGTTTTTCCTCTCCCAGATTAACACCTGCCTCCAGTTCCTGATGTACAGTCACGACACATTAACAAAATAATTAAAATGTTTCGTCCAATCACCCCCACAAAAAACCATGATGGGAACACAAAGACAGACACAATAATGGTATCTTCCTGCTTGAAATTAAATTCTCTCCTGTGCCTTGCTGGGTTCCTCTATCCATCAGCTGTGATCTTGCACATCACACCACAGTGAGAATTCAAATAAAAACTAACTTATTTACAATAAATGCTGTGAACTGGCTTCTGGTTGTTGTGTTTTGTGTAACTCGCATGTCAATGATTTGAATGTACAAAATAAAAACATTAAATACTAATTACAGTTAACGTTTTCCTAAGTGAGAGAGATCTCTCACCCACAGAAGGAACACACCCTGACCAAGCTGTTACTAAGGTACGAGTGAATTTGTTCCCACAGTGCATTAATTTGCTGTGCTTGCTCACTTCCGGGTGCAGCCTGTCCAGAGCCTGGGTTTAGGTTGCACTCTTCATTCAAGCACAAGTCTCCATTAAATAAAATGAACAGAAAAGAAAATCAGCACTCAGCCTTCATCACCACTCAATTAAATGAATTAAAAAAAATCACTGAACGCAAATGGTTGAATGGATGGTAAACAAAGATGTTGTTGGACGGGATGTGTGGCCTAACCGTCGGGACAGGTGTGCCCTAAATTAAACGTAAAAAAAGTCACCCACTTTTCCCCAAATAAAAGGTCCCCAAGCAAATGTGCGTGTCTTCTGTTGTAAGAACTATTCAGGTGTGTTCCCAGCTGGGGGACTTGCCACAATTCAGTTATCTGGAACGGGGAGTGTCTCTATAGAGTCCGTCCCACCCATCGCGTGGACGTGTGCACAAATCGTAGTGCACACGGCCAGACTGAAGTGAGACAAGCCCCCTGTGGCAGGCAAGCCTCCCTCCTGCCCCGCAAGCCAACTAACACTAGATGAGGCTGTACGGATTTATCCCAAGGGAGGTCTTGGCTATGGGCTATTGGAGCACTTGCAGGCGGTTATAAAGCCAACCGCCACCCACAATAGCCAATGCTGCCAAGAGCTCCAGTTCCCTTCATGGGCTCGTGCGCAAAGAACACGGGTGGCCAATGTATGGTTCACAAGAATAATACTGGCAAGATGTGGTCCCACTTACCCACAGCTGGGAAAATGGGGGGGTGCTAAAGCTGCCTCAATCCGAACCCCTCAATTCCCAAGTCATCCTAGTGGAAGATCACTTGCAGCCGCTAAACAACATTTTGCACGCGTGGACGTGCCTGCACCTGCTGGGGAACATGCGCGTGGCCAGCTCCTTAGGTCAGCATCAGGGGGCTTCATATACAGCTAACACATTCCCCACTGACCTAGCTGCTCAGACGTCTCCCTTACGGATGTAGCGAGGCCACTGCTACCGACTCGATGGGCCGATCACTTTTGGTGTCCGTGCCATGCTTAGATTCTGAGCAATGCCATCCATACCCAAGCCAGCTCAACCTGCAGTCAGGACCGGAGGCCATTCGGCAGGTCTGTTAGACAGGAATAACTGGGAAGGCTACTCCCAGTGTCTGGTCAGCTGTACGTGGTCTCAGTGGCACTCGGGGTCTAGACCCCACTGTCCCCCCATATCTGTCCAGAAGAGATTTAGGTCTGTGGTGATGGTGGAAGTATTTACAGTCTATTTGCAGCAGTTATTTACAGTACTTGCGCAGACTGCAGGCTGATTTTCTTTTCTTCCGCTTCTAGTCAATCCGTCCCGGGCTTCTTTAGCGAGAAAGGCCGGATGTTGAAATGCTTGCTCAGCTGGCTTACCTGGGGGAAGAGAATCAAATGACAGCCCGGCATCAGCCAACACGCCTTCCACCTGAGCCTCCAACGGAGCCACTCAGCACGCCCCCCGACTCGGGCCCAGGAGCGCAGTGCAGCTAACACGGGAAGGATGCGTAACGCCTGCCGGAGCTACCCCGCAGCAACCCCCAGAGGCTGGCCAGTCAGTCGACTGGAGCTTGCAGGGCCCAGGCTGCGGGGCTATAAAACGGAGGGGTGGACATTTGGGCTCACACTGAAGCCCGGTGTTTTGGGACCCAGGAAAGAAGGGGGTTTCCGCACTGCTGGATGTCTGCACTAGGGGTGTTAAGTCTCGGTTAACTGAACAGTCGAGTAACCTCAGGAATTCTTAGCAGTTAGTCGACTATTCTATAGTCCCCAGGGACGGCAGCCAACGTGCTCCAGCCCCACTGCCGAGGAACCCCCTGCCTCTGGATCAGAAGCAGCAGCACTGGGTGCCAGGCGGGAGCTGGTCCGCGAGGGGAGCCCGTTTAAAAAACCAGCTCATAAGAACGTAAGAACGGCCAAGCTGGGTCAGACCAAAGGTCCTTCAAGCCCAGTATCCTGTCTGCCGACAGTGGCCAGCACCAGGTGCCCCAGAGAGGGTGGGCCGAAGACAATGATCAAGCGATTTGTCTCCTGCCATCCCTCTCCAGCCTCTGACAGACAGAGGCCAAGGACACCATTTTATCCCCTGGCTAATAGCCTTTTATGGACCTAACCTCCAGGAAATTGTGGACCTAACCTCCATGAAAAGCTCCCTTCACAGCCTGGCTGTTTGTCGCCCTGCGCAAGGTGGCAGCAGCCCCTGTCCAGGGTGGGTCTGAGCTCCGGGACCTGGCGCGAGCTGGAAAAGAGCCAGGCGGGCCTGCCCGCCGGGCTCCTAATACACTTTACATGCAGAGCCGCAGTGGGGGTAGGTCTTGGACCCAGCGCGAGCCAGGACTGAGCCCAGCTGCTGGCCAGCCTGCTAAAAAATTTACTGTGTGTGTAGGGGGGAAACGCGTGTCGTCTATAGCACTAACCTGTCGGCTTTTGCGTCTCGGTTAATCGGCTACACTATTACATCCTTAGTCTACACTTCAGCCTCGCCAGCCTGGTCACTGACAAGGGCGTTTTACTCAAGTGCAGATGTTCCTTTATGCACCAATGGACCAAAAGAAGCCATATGTACAGCTAAAAGGGCCGAATCAGCCCCCGCGGGCACAGAAGCCCGGTATCACAGGAACACCATGACGCTTTGTGCACGGCCAGGCCAGCCACACAGGACACTCCGCCTACGTCGGCGTACTTCGCTGAAGCACCTCTCCCCCTCTCCACTGACAGGGTAGACCGATCATGCCAGAAGGCTCCCATCAGGCCAAAGCCTGCAGTTCACAGGGCCCATCAGCCTCGCTGCACCAAACCTAGACACTAGCACATCAGGGGACAACTGTTTAGCCACACTGCTGGGTTTTGCACTGGTGGGTCCAGAATTTGACCCTCTAAGAGACTCCGATGAGTAGAAATGTTTAGCTGGTCTGGCAACTCCTGACCGCCCATCTCGTGCTGCACAGCAACCAGAGGAAAGGGGAAGAAACCCGTCCGTTCTGGGCAGGCTTCTCCCCCGGGAGTTGCACCCCAGCCTTCCCCATGAGCAGCTGTCTTAGCCCTGACCTATTATGGTTCTACACCTTGCAAAGCAACGTGCGCCCTACCTAAGGTCACGGGACTGTCAGTACGTTTTTATCTCGATGGCGGCTGTTCTCTGAATCTTAAGCTCTTGGCCTTAAATGGTATCTCCCGGCAGGGAGGACTTCAGGCTAACTGTGCACTGCAAGCCAAGTGCCTTTCCTTTGATCTGTGTTAAGTTCACAGCTGTTCCTCACAGGCTGTTCTGGACTCCATCTGGCCTGTTGTGAGCTGTGAAGCCAAAGCTCCCGCTGGAGCCAAGCAAGCAGCGAGCACACAAGTCACCCAGTTGGGCGTCAGCCGTAGACGAGCCGCGTAAAGCACAAGCCAAGACAGACTCGCTTCCAACCACTCGTCTTCCAGGGCAGGTCAGTGCTACAGCAGCTACCCCACGCCCTCTTCTAGCTCTGGGCTAACAGGGCCTGTGCCCTGCCAAGCCCTCCCGCGAGACAGTAGAACAGGACAATGTGCCAGGGGATCCGAGCCAGGAGACAGCAGGTCTGAGACCTGGAGACCCACGCTTAACTATCCCTCAGAAGCCCCCTCTGTGACCTTCCCCGGGCAGAAAGGGCTCCTTTCCTCCACACAGCCAGAAGCCTGCTCGCCTGAAAGGTTGCGCTCAGTGCTGAGCAATGAGATGATTAAGCACGATGTCAAGTCATTAGGCTGGCTGCCGCTGCCGAGTTCTTTTTAAAGCAAATCGCAGGGCTGCCGGGAAAAGACCAAGACACAGCATGGTGGCTAAGCAGCCACCCCCCACCCCAACGCTGGCTCTTGCACCCCCAGCTTGAGAGGGGGGCTGCAGATTTGCTGTCACCCGCCTGTGTCTCTTGCAAAGGGGCTCCGAACGGCCGGGGTTCTCCCCTAGCTTCTCAGAGGGGATCGCGAGTCTGACCTCCGTGCGTCACGCACTGAGCCCTGCTTCACGCCCGTATCGGGCGACGAGCCAGACACGCTTTCGAGCTGGCCTGAAGCAGTAAGGGCTCGGGTTCCCAATCTGACTGTGCAGCTGACCTAGGACAACCCAAGTAGCCTTTCCCCACTGAGCAGCACTCCCGCAGTCTCGATTTTCTGCGTCCTAACAGCGCCGTCACACAGTGCCCGTCTCCTGCCGTTCGCTACAAGGTTCACCTGACAGATTGCTTCCTCTGCTACCTTGCCCGGATTCCCCCCACCCAAGAAACTCTCAGAAGCTTAAAGATGGCAGCTCGGGTGCTTTAGTTTATAACCCCGCACACAGCGCAGACCTGGAGCGTACGCTGGGGGCTGCAAACACCGAACTGCCATGGGACGAGCAAGCGAGCAGAGCAGCAACAGCGGGACCCCGAGCCCAAAGCAATACTGCAGCAGAGCAAAGACATTATGGCTGCCGCCTCCCAAGCGATGCCCACCTTCGCAAAGAAGGCCACTCTCTGAATGTGCAGCCAGCTAGCAGCTGCAGCCGACAGAGAACACGTTGGAAGGACAGTGAAACGGTAGCAAGTAAACAGCACTCGGCTGGGTCTCTGAATAATTTATTTAAAATTAGAGACAGGCCCAGCCCGGACACCGCATGCTACTGGGATCCTGGCGCTTTTATGATTGCTAGAACCATGATATCAGAACCCGGGAGCATTAAATCCAGGCTTCCCCAATGTGGCATTCATGTGATTAAGCTGCCAACTGTGATCAGATGTGGAGCCAGGCTTTGGCTTAGACTCCATCTTCAACGTAAGCGACGAGAAGAATGTCTCCTGCAGCCGGAACGTCAGTTCCTGGTATCCCAAATAAGCCTTCAGGTGCCCCACATGTAGCTCTTTCATGTTTTATATCAGGGGCTGTATTGGTGACCCTTCTCCCCCCTGCATACACTAAAAATGGAGGGGGGGGGTAATTTAATGAGGGAGGGGGAACGACTCATGGATGTCAGCCCCACAGAGCTGACCGCTCCTGACCTGCAGGTAACCACCT